CCTTTTTGCACTTATGCTGGGAAATCAACGGCATAGTTGTTGCTGTTACAGCTAGGAAAGAGTTGGTATTAGTGGGACTGAGAAGTAGCTTGTGGTATCTTGTACAGTTTGTAACTGGTACTAATGGCGTCAAGCGCGGGCAGGCTCCACATCCTATAGACTACATGACATTACACATGTCTGGTCCCTGACTCTTTGCGCCAGCTTCCGTTGTCGTCTTCGCGCTTGTTCTCGCAATGTCTTCTAATACTTCGCGGCACAATTCACCAGTCAGCGCACTACACTCTGCATAACGATCGCAAAGCATCTGCTGTGCAGTCTGTACCCCTTCATGCGGCATAACGCTGGCGCCTTTGCCTTTCTTATCCGGCCCATGTTCCTCTATTGTCCATTGCTTTCTAAGATCCCTCTTCAGTCCCAAGACCATGACCGGCAAATTTTCATCATAGTTGAAGTGCTTGTTCACAATAGGCAGCCATGTCGTTGACAAAGAGTTGAGTGAGGCGCGCGAGGAGATGTCGTAGCAAAGGATCACGAATTGGGGCTTTAGAAGGGTGTAGTTATAAGGCGATGCGGTATCGAAGAATTGCAGTCTATATGGACGGCCATAGAGTGAGATGTCGAAGGCGAAGGGCTGGTCTATATCGCGCAACGTCGGGAGCTCGTACGGTGGAAGGCCGTCGCCTCGGGGCTGGATACCGAGGCTCAGGCGCCTATGTACATGTCAACAGTGTACATGATGGCTTTCATGCGCTATTATTTACATGACATGCAATCTTCGTAGGCGTGCTGTGGGGAGCGCCAAATGACCCGCGACGCTTGCCAGACTTACGATAAGAAGGTCGACTTGCCAACTTCTGCATCACCAAGCAGCAGCACATTGATCTCTGGGGGTATCGATGCATAGTCCATGTTAGAATCGAATGCCTTGCGGCATAAGTTGTTCAGAGCGGCTTCATACTTGCTATCACGACAGAGGTTCAATCGTGACGGAGATGCCTAGGCACGGAGATAGGCGTTAACACTGTCTTGGCAAAGGGGCGCTAAAGATGATAGGACATTCATCATTGCTCTTTTTGATTTCTACACTTGACTGGCACTACTTGCTCTTCTTTCTCGTAAGACTACTGAGATATGATTTTTGCTGAGGCTCTGTCTACATTACTGAATCATTTTTTAGAGTGATATTCATTCTTGGATTACCAAAAGGTGTTCGATGCTACTAAATGCTAGGAATGTTCTCAAGCCCTGAATGGAACATTGACTGGAACCTCTCGCAACCCTTCTCTCGAACCAACGTACCACACTAAGCATAGCGTCTTTGGCGTCTCTAGGCTGACCAGTTACCTTACAAGCGGACCTCACGCGTTTATCTTCCGAAGCTTCAACGAACCGAACAATGGCAATTTCTAGTACGTACAAGGAGAAAATCCTGACTTTTCCTATATGCCCAACCAATATAAGTTACAAGCAACCTAAAGGGACCATGCAACCACGATCTGTCATTTATAGAATCCGCAAAGCGGTCAGCCTTCTACTGTTACACCATATGCAACTAGACAACTGACATTGCGAAATGTACTATTGCCAAAGCAAGGTATGTCACTAGTGATTAGGCTGGCTCGTAGTCGGTGAAGTTATTCGCGTGACTATGGATAGTATATGACCTTGCCGATTGTTAGAAGCACAGTGGTTTCTTTGGTATTATTCTGGATATCGTTGCCTCCAAATGGCTCGCCTTGTGGTGATTGTGGCGCCGATTTAGCAAGCGTTGCCCTTTCAGAAATTTGTTCAGCTTTGATAAAAAAGTAGGGACTGATTCTTGTGTAGGGTGGTTGGAGTCAGTTGACGTAGTTTGTGGTACGTGCACGACGCGCCTGAATGGCAAGATAACCTAGGATAAACCGTGGAACATTGCCAGTCTAATGTGTGTTCATATTCCTTCTTCCTCAATGCATCTCTAATCAGAGATAATAGAAAAGCTTCAAAATGTCGCCCCTCTGGGGCTGTGCAATTCGCCAGCTGTGTTCCCGTGATAACGTATTGACGGGTGAAAAGCCACAATTGCGGGTGCCTTGCTAACGGAATGTCAGTCGGCTTGGCGACACAATCATCCCGCGAACCGGGAGTCTGGATCCTTGGGATTCCGTTTGTTATGCCTACTGTTACTTACAGCCCGCACGCTCCTTTGCGTTAGGCTACCAATTTGTTTGGCCGTGGCATCGAGATAACAAGTTGGACCTGCTTAGAACTGCTGGGCATGCACGCGAGCCAAGCACGCTTGCAGTCTTGGAGGCTTGGGTGACAGCATCCTAAGTTACCAAATGAGGAAGCTGGCAAACATGTCCTTGTATCCACATTGTGCCACGGCAGGTTCTGTGTCTTGATGTGGAATACATAAGGCCATGCTGTGGCAACATTCTATTTCTCCACGCCCTGCACCCATAGCTTATTGCAGCATTCTTCTTGCAGTTCACCATGAAAGTCTCCACACTTCTCAGCCTGCTTCCAGGTGCTGCAATCGCTTCTGATGTGCTGAGCGTCGCCTTCTACGCAAAGGAGAAGAATCAGCTGTACGATTTCATTTCCGCCAACAGCGAAATCGACTATGGCTGCCGCCCCCAAGTCCTGGCTGCCGGTAATGAGCACAAACTCCATGCTGTGATCTCAGAAGACCACTTGGATCACTTCAAGCGCAGCCTGGATCCTGAACTCGTCCGTGTCGAACTCTTGGACAACTTGAACAAGCGCCAGACAGCCACCGCGCCTATCGGTAGCGGCGACCGATTCAAGGGAGGAAAGATTGCGCCCCGCGGTCTTGGGACGAGGAAGCCTAGCGAGTATGCTGCTCTTCAAAAAGCAGGTATCCTTAACGCAGATGAAGTCTACACTGCTATGAAGGGCCTGGAGAAGGAATACGGCATGACCCTCTTCACAACACCACACAAGACGTACGAGGGCAATACTATTATTGGCGGTGTCGCGAACAAGGCCGAGAAGATCAAGAAGGACAAGCAGTACATCTACTTTACCAGCGGTATCCACGCAAGAGAACGTGGTGGACCAGACAACCTGATTTACTTCGTCTCCGATCTGCTGTACGCGAACAAGCACCGCATCGGACTCACTTACGGCAACAAGAAGTACACCAACAGCCAAGTGAAGAAGGCTCTCGGTGCTGGTATTGTCTTCATTCCTATGCTCAATCCCGACGGTGTTCGCCACGATCAGGCCAACAGCAACTTGTGGCGCAAGAACCGCAACCCAGTGTCTTCCCGACCCAATGAGCCTCTCAGTGTTGGTGTAGATCTTAACAGGAACTTTGACTTCCTCTGGAACTTCACCGAGAAGTTTGACCCAAGTGTCTCCCCAGCCTCCGCCGACCCGGCTTCTCAAGCTTTCTATGGCACAGGGCCATTCTCCGAGCCTGAGACCAAGGATATGGCTTGGGTCTATGATGAGTACCCCAATATTCACTGGTACATTGATGTACACTCTGCTGCAGGAACACTTCTGTACTCTTGGGGCGATGATATTGACCAATCCCACGATCCCAAGCAAAATCTTTTCAACCCTGCTTATGATGGCAAGCGTGGCGTCGTTGCAGACACTACCTACCTGGAGTACATTGACCAAGAAGACTGGGACAACATCCGTCTAGCCGCTAACCGCACTACTGATGCCATGGCCGCTGTTGGTGGTCGCGAATACGTTCCCCAGCAAGCCGTTGGCCTGTACCCCACCTCTGGTGCTTCTGACGACTGGTCTTTTAGCCGCTGGCACGGAGACAAGAGCGTCACCAAGGTCTACGGATACACTATGGAGTTTGGTTATCCCACCAACTTCTACCCTACCGCTGAAGAGTTTATCCAGAACATCATTGACACCAATGCTGGCTTCATGGAGTTCATTCTTACTGCTGCTGAGATTGGACTCAAGGCTTAGTCAAGGGTGGCTCGAGAAATGAGCGTGTGTAGGTGATGACGTTATGAAAAAAAAACAATGAGAATAAATGTAGTAGTAGAGTAGTATTAGTAAATAATGGATTGCACACAAATCAAGGAGCAATATCGGCTTCAGAAAGTTTTATACAACGAGTGAATGTGCCTATTGGCATCTCCATGCTACTCGGTATTGGCTACTCTTGAAGATAGAATGTGTAGATTTAACGAAGCCGAGATCGAGGAGGTGGAATCAGAGTTGAGTGAATAAAATGCATGCTGTATACAGTAGTAAGATGTGGCTAGAGATTGTGTATCTGCAGGCTTATCTTCTAATACGATTTACATACAACGAGAGGTTGTTTTCACACATCTCCTATGTAGAAAGACACAGCACGACCAACGCTAGCCCAAAGCAGTCTAGCCTCACCATCCTCAGATGCACACGCAAAGCACATGCAGCTCATCACAACGGCAGCCTGCTAGTGCCCCTCCTTTCCTTCATCAAGTATTGTGATCTGCCTACCTTCCACATCTTAGGCTCTGGACAAGGTTTGGCAGCACAATGCTTCATTATATGGGCACACGGCAACCACCACGCAAGTACGTCGTAGCCGAAGGAGCAGACACTACCACTATTTCGCATAATCGGTCATGTAGCATCTGCCGTTCAAGAGTATGGACACCGGAGTCATTTAGAGTTATCAATAATGCGCCCGTAGAGCAAGAAAGAGTTTCAGTATACTACCAAATCACATCAGAAGAGCTGCGGAAATCCGTCTTAGGAGGATGCGAGTTTTGCAAGACACTTGCCGACGGGATTCACGGCAAGGTTTTCCTCGATGAACTCTATGAGCGCCTGCGAGAGAGTGAAAGTTGTTCTGAAACCAACGCATCCGAAGACGTAGAGAGCGGTAGTGAGAATGCGAACAAAGAGCCAGAAGACATTGAGCAAGAGTGGACAGATGCTTCTGCTTTCAATGAAGAGGAGTTTGGTAATGATGTCACAGGTGGCTGGGATGCATGGAAAGAGCGTGATACACTGATCGAGGCATGCCAATTCGAAGTTGAGATCTCCTTTGAAAGGGGACATGCAGGACATTTCACATTTGTGAATGCATACATCGAAGCTGTCGATAAGACGGACCATCCGACCAGTCTACAAAAGTTACAAGGAGAGAAATCTTTAGAACTACGATATAATGTCAATAGCAAAGGTATGTTGTCTGGGATACTGATGGTGAAAAGCTTACCAAGGCAATAGACAATAGGTTGAGTACATCGTCCATATTCCCACCTTGGACGGCAGATAGTATGCTTGGAGCAGAGACTAATATGAAGATGCTTGGAGACTGGATGCATAGCCTTCAGCCCATCGCTCAGTCTGCAACAACAACAACGCTAAATTATCTACCGTCACGCCTGATACAACTGTGCGACAAGGGCGGTCTACGCATAATCCAAACATCCACCATCGAGGATCACGAACCGAAATTTTCCGCACTTAGCTATGTCTGGGGCACGAATCAAACATTCATCTTGCTTAGTACCACTGAAGATATGCTCACGACAGGGTTTGGGACCGAGCAGCTTCCCAAAACGATACAAGACGCTGTCACGGTCACACGCCGCATCGGGATAGAATACATCTGGGTAGATGCACTGTAAGAGAACATTTGCAGCTACCTTTTGTATTGCTGATAGAGAGATAGATGCATCATGCAGGATTCAGACAAGGATAAGGCACAGGAACTACCGAAGATGCGATCAATCTACAAGTATGCCACAGTAACGGTAGTGGCTTCTGTTGCCAAATCTGCTACTGAAGGCTTCCTACACCACGTTGAAGAAAAATATGACTACTTCATCGAACCAGTCACGATACCTTTTCCAGCAAACATGGCCCAGCCAACATGCTCGGAAATGGTCCTTAGTTACCCAGCAGACTACAAGCGATGGAAAGACCCTATCAACAACCGGGCCTGGACGTTCCAAGAACTCATCTTGTCAACGCGTGCAATTCTCTTCTCATACCGTGGTGTCCAAACAATTGACCGTACTAGCCCAGGTTCTGCGGACGGTATGACGTCTGGCAAAGATCCGCAGTTACCAAGTTTGCCATGGAGCGGCAAGCTGTTCTCTCTGGCTACTACGCCAGAAAACACGAGGCAGGTATGGCTCGCAATACGAGGAGAGTATAGTCGGCGTATGCTCTCGTACCAGGGAGACAAGCTCGTTGCAATATCGGCTATTGCCGAGGAACTTGGCCAAACATACAACAGTCGCTATCTTGCTGGTATGTGGGAGCGCGACCTCGCTATTGATCTACAATGGAATTGTCCACGCAATGAGACGGTGGATGGCGACAACCATAACCGGAAGCCTCGAGCACAAGGCTACGTTGCTCCTTCATGGAGTTGGGCATCTGTCAGTGGCGCTGTGGAGGACTTTGTACAAGTTTGGGAAGATGAAGGCAATGACGGAGGAATTGGGTACAAGAGTAGGTTTGGATTTGAAGTGATTTCCTGCGAGGTTGAGCTTGCTGTTCCTGGGTTCGAGTATGGAGCCGTCACATCGGGTATTCTGGTCGCGAGAGGTCGTATCTGTACACTCTCTTGGCACCCCCATGCCCATGACGAACAGCACAGGCTCCTCGAGTCAGATGGTTACCTTGCAGGATTAGCCGACAGTGGTGAGAGCGGACTAGCGAACACGGGTGCGAGCGCCAGATGTGGTGAGGGCACATTGGATGCCGTTGATCCGGATATGCATGGGGGCGTTGAAGTGGTCTGTCTTGGGGGAAGATTGGTGGAGAATGTGCCAGGACGGGAGGATGTGGAAGGAATGATGCTACTGGCGACGACAGAGGGGCAGTACCGTCGCGTTGGCTTTTTCCGAGTGCAGACGGGGGCATTTGAGAAGGGCGAGAGAGCCGTGGTTACGATAGTTTGATTGGTAGGCACCCCAGTCCTCAGTCGAGGCGCAAATGACGATGTGTGCACGTGACCATGCCCATAACCGTGACCGGCCGATGACGGTCAGCGCTAGTGGGCCGGTGCCTCTGGCCCACGAGGGCAGCCACACAGAATGGCGCAATTACTGACCGCCCACACTGACTTGCTGCATGCAAACTCGTGTAGCTGCACACGATGGCGAATGTGGTCGCCAGCATATTTTCCCCGGCCTGCGTGTGCAGAGTGCAGCACATGTGCATCATGCAGTAAATTTCTGCTCTAGAAGGTTTTCAGCACGGCTCGGCAGGGAAAAAAGGGCAACAACCGGGCATGCGGCCGGCTGAGTGTGACGACAAAACCACAATCCATGTCCCACAGTACACCATGTATCCTGCCCACGTCCTAAGGTACACTTGCCCAGTAGCCTGTCCGGCGCCATCCATGCAGCAAGATTAGCTCGGCTCTCTTCCCTTTATCGATAAGACGATTTTCTACGCGAAAGCTTCGCTGCCTCATCATTCCCTCCTTGTCACTGCCCGTCGCGAAAGCCTACTCACCCCTACCTCGTTCACCAGCCTTCAAAATGAGGAACATTGTCGTTCTCGGCGGAACCTCTCACCCCCAGCTTACAGAGTAAGTAGCAGCTCACGACGGCGTGCGGCGCGCAGGCCCGCTGACGGTGCTCTAGGACTATCTGCAACCACCTCGGCATACCCAAGGCCAAGGTGCTTCTCGACAAGTTCAAGGGCGGCGAGACCAGAGTGGAGATCCAAGAAAGCGTCCGTGGCAAGGATGTCTTCATCATTCAGTCTGGTGGTGGTAAAGGTATGGAATTTCCCTGCCCACTCCACACACACACACACACGCGTCGTCGCATTTTTTTCCCTCGAGTCGCGCAACTATCCCAATGCCAGTCGCACGGCAGCATGCTTCACGAACCGCGCTAACATTTGGTGTCGCGCACAGTCAACGACCATTTGATGGAGTAGGCCTGTCCTCATGGCATAGTTGAGTCAAGTGCCTGACGTACTATAGACTGCTTATCACCATCTCGGCCTGCCGAACTGCCTCTGCGAAGCGCATCACCGCCGTTCTTCCTCTCTTCCCATACTCGCGACAGTCGGATATTCCCTACAACAAGACGGGCGCACCGCTGTCAAAAGCCCCTGGGCGCTCGAGGACCGGCACATACTCGCTCGAATCTCGCCCGCAGACGCCCCACCCAGGCCAGCCTGAGAGTGCAGGTCTCGCAAATGGCTCGGCATCGCTGCACCACCAGCTCAGTAAGATAAAGCTTGACGAGCGCAATGGCATCACCTCGAACCCTTCAAGCCCCGTCAAGACGAATGGCATCAAGCGCACTGATACGCTTGATTCGACCAAGGGAGACAAGGGTGCGTACTTTGGCACTGACCATGCCACCAATGGCGTCAATGGTACGAATGGTACCCAAACGCCCGGTGCTCTGACACGCCAAACCACCGTTACAAAACCTCCAGCCTTCGAGCCGCAGGTTGGGTACCGCCAATGGGTCGCCCAGGCCGGTACTTTGATCGCGGATCTTCTGACATGTGCTGGAGCCGACCACGTTATTACTATGGATCTCCACGGTATGTGATATCATTGTAGACAAAGGCCACTGTCTCTAACAAATCTCCAGACCCGCAATACCAAGGGTTTTTCGATATCCCCGTCGACAACCTGTACGGGCGTCACCTCCTGCGCAAATACATCCAGTTCAACATCCCCAACTACCAGCAAGCCGTTGTAGTCTCCCCTGACGCAGGTGGTGCCAAGCGAGCCACCGCCATCGCTGATGCACTCGGCATGCCCTTTGCACTTATCCATAAGGAACGCCGTCCTACCCAGATCAGCGACCGGCAAAATGCGACCATGATGCTGGTTGGAGATGTATCAGCTCGCACGACGATTCTTATCGATGACTTGGCTGATACGTCCAACACCATTACCCGTGCAGCGAAGCTCCTGAAGAAGGAGGGTGCTACACAGGTAATTGCGCTCATCACGCACGGTATTTTGAGTGGAGATGCCATTGATCGCATCAACGCTAGTGCATTGGACAAGGTTATCGTGACCAACACGGTGCCTCAGGACGAGCACAAGTCGAGATGCCCCAAACTAGAGGTTTTGGAGGTGGGCAACGTTTTTGCTGAGGTATGTACAAAACTTTGGCTGATATTGGAGCATACTAATGAGAAAACTAGGCTATTCGCCGCGTCCACCACGGTGAGAGCATCAGCGTGCTGTTCGATTACAGTTAGTACCTCTGCTCGTTCAGTTTCCACTACTGGGTCAATCCCGCCCCTCCACGCTCGGTGTTAGCTCCTTATGGGCTTTGGGAGCGGTAGAGGCAGACTTGGTTAGAGGCCTTTTTTGCTCTCTTTTTCGTTTTGTTGAAGGTTGCACACTCTTGGACCCTCCTTTCGACGACATTCTCATTTGACGTGGGAGTGTTATTTTTTTTTTGAATTTTCTGTATTTTGCGTGTTTTTTAAGACTGCTGAGGAGCGGTATATCAAATACCTAAATGTGCATCATGAGCATATGTGCATGGATTGGCGTTGTTTTCCAAGGACGGTTCCTCTTACAAAAAACTTTGAAATAGTCATGGCTATTTTTTTTTCGGTTCCACTGGGTCGACGGGTGGTGTGTTGTGCTGTTGCATGACCACGTGCTGTGTGGTGAGGCTCCACCCCTGTCCGAATGACTCGAAGTGGTATCGTCAGTACGATGGATGTGTTAATGATATGTACATATGATGAAGGAGAATGAAGAAAAAAAGCTGTTCAGAGAATTGAATATGCATGTTATCATGAATAGACTGATTTGGGGTATACATGTTCTGCAACTGCAGTCCTGAGGAATTTCTCCAACTAACTAGTAGGTGCATCGTGCCGCTCAAGTTCGTTCCTTTATCTTCATTCCTCTGCTGAACCCAGCATCTCAACTCTCCTTCTCATCTTCCATCCAACAAAATTCCCCTTCCCCCGCAACCACAACTTTTTTTCCCTTTCTCTTCCCCCTCGATTCCTTTCTGTTTTACGCAGTAGTATACACATGTGGCTCAAGACACCACCCCCCCAAAAAAAGCCGCCCACTCCCATCTCCCATCGCAGCTTTGGCCCAAAAGAAAATGCTCCAAACGCCGCAATTCCTTCCATGAAATCTTACCCCTTGAACGTGTAAAGAGAAAAAAAAAATGAAAGTCCCTTTTCCCTTGACAATCGCCCTCCTACCTAATGCCATCCTCCCACCTCCCCACCCCCGAATCCTTCCTCTTGCCCCCCTTCTCGCCGGGCGTAAACAACTCGGCACTCAACACCAGCACCGCAGGCACAACCGCCAACGCATCAATCGTGCCGCTCGGCCCTTTCTTGCTCTGATGCCGCAGATCCATCAGCGCGTTGATTTCGCGCGATTTGATAGTTTCTTTGCGGGGCCGAGTGCGCGGGGTGTCGTCGCTTTGCCTTTGCATCGCCGAGGATGATATGGAGGGAGACGGAGGTGTTTGAGAGGACGAGGTAGATGAAGAGCGCCGCGTCCGGAAGCGAGAGAGTGACGAGAGGGTTTTTGAACGGCCGCGGGGTGGTGCGTCTTGTGCTGCTGCTGCTGCGGCGGCGGCGGTTGATGGCGAGGGAGGCGGACTGGTGATGTTGCCGGTTTTGCAGGCGGGGTTGCGAGGAGGGGGGAGGCGTGGGAGGGGGATGTTGATTTCGGTGTATAGAGGCGTGTCGTACTGGATTTGGAAGACGGGGTCTAGTGTGGTTGCTGTTGTTGTTGTTGTTGTTGTTGTTGTGGAGGAGTATATGTCGTCGCAGATTGGCGGTGCGGAGTGGTTGTGTTGCGATGTTATAGGTGTGTAGGAGTCGAGTGGTGGGAAGGCCTCCGGGTAGGAGGGTACTATGTTGGTGGTGTGGTCCATGATTTCTGGGTTTCCCACTTCTATCTATCTCTTTCTTTGTTGTTGTTTTTCTTGTTATCGCTGTTTCTTTGGAGAAGGTGTGCGACTTGGGGGGGTTTCGGATATCGCCTGTAAGGGGGATTATAGAAAGAGAGAATGCCGCCTGGGGCGGGAAATGGATTTGTTTTCTATGTCCCGTGTGTGTCTATTGTGGCTGGTTGGTTCGCCCTCTTTTGTGCTATGTGACAGAAAGGTACATGGGAGGCCTAGCACAGCCTCGATTCAGGCAAACCGTGATTTAATATCACGTTTTTGCTTCCCTCCTTCCTCGTTGAATCGCCGAACTTCGCTCGGAATCTTTCAGTGTTAAATTACGCCGCCGTTTGTCGATAAGCGCCAAAATTTGTGTTCACGATGCTTTGTTGTTTGAAACAAAACCCTGGTTTACTTCTTGGGGAAACTATCGAGGGTGGTTAGTACTTTTGCGTAGTGAGCAACACGAATCTCGTGGCTTTTGTTTGTTGCGCGAACGCGGCGTGCGTACACATTGTACATCATTTTGTGCTGACGCACGACAATCATTGCAGCTTGCGGTTCAGCTGATGGCTACAAGCCACCCAATTATGCGCATACATCTTGACTCAGCCGCAGTCAGAAGGGGCTGCGCGCGGGCAAGGCGGTCGGGAACCACTTTATCCGTTTGAGTCTGACCGCGGTGGTGGATTCGGTTGCCCTTGTGGCGTGGGGCTGTGCGAGCGTCCCCGCATGTTTGGGCGCAAGCTGAGACGAGATTTGAAAGCATTCCAGCACCAAAATACAGGTAACAAGAGAGCCTCAATTTGTCAACAGCTTCTGCGTGCAGCAGAAGCAGAGACATCTTGGCTATGGAGGGCTAGTTTGGTGAAGCGTGTTAAAAAAGAGTTTAGTCGCAATCATTAATTAACCTGCATCTAGCGCTGACAATGATATCTTGGAAGCGTGGAACTAGTATACTACTATCTTCACCAACTGCTTGGCATGTCGATTTTCTAAAGAGAAAAAACGACCGAGGCTTGGGGCACGTAGTGCTGTCTATCACCCTTTTGACCGCCAAACCAAAGCAAGAGCCCCAACTACTGCGTGAATGATACGTAGTATATTTGCTACATAATGCAATCCTTTTTTTCGACAACAGGTATGTAACGTCCGTCCCTACGTGCCGGGACGCACGGTGTAACGGGACGCATTTTCTTTCGGGTCCCCGGGTTGCACCTACCATGCCTATAAATCAATAGGCCTAGCATGTATCTATTTCGTAGCTCTTATTCTTCTAGTGCATCAACCTCTAACTCAAAAAAGCGCGTCATTAACTACGCTATTACTTATTCTATTGGTGCTGTTTATTAACTCTTCTCTAATACCTTCTTATTTGCTTACGATAGTATAAACTTCTATATAGCTTAGTAGGCTAGAGAGGAAGCTAGAGTAGTAATAATTAAGGCTATAGTCTTCTAAAGTTAATTTAGAGTAATAAGTATATATCTTAGTAGTTTTTCTATATAGATAGTAAGATCGTTGAAATACGTCCTCTAAGACGTACACTATTAGTAGCACTTAGTATATAGATAGCCTATAGTACCGTACTTAGATATCGCTATACACTATTGTTTTAACGGGCTGAACGCCCTTTGGATAAATCCTCGATGGAATGTCGGTTGACTCGCAGAATCCAGGTACTACGCTGAGCACCTGGATTCCCTAAGACCGCCCGAACGACGTTCAGGAGGCATCCAACGCGATATGCTATATTGGCCCGATTGTTGCTTGGGCAACGGCTTTGTATATAGATAACTACGTAGCTTAGAAGCTTAGCTCTCTATTGAATACAACCTCTTGTATACCTCGCGATTGCTCCCCGGAGCGCAGCCCCTTACAATTATAATAAATTCAACGCTATACTTATAGTAGTTATACACTAAGAATAACTATAGTATATACCTATAGCTTTCTAGAAGCCTCTATAGCTAGATGCTTAGTCTCGCTATTGTAGCACGATCTTGGCCGCCAACGCCGTTTGCGCTGTCTAAAGATGCCAATACCGTCACCCTACTAAGAAACTATACCTTAGTACTATGCTCATATCGGCAGTCCTCCGGCTAATAATTATTTAGGGTTTTCTTTCTAGTTAGTGTTACTTCGCTACTAACGTCTTTCCCTGCGTAGTAGATATTAGATAGGTTAGTACTAAATATAATTAAGGTATACCCTAGTAATAGCTCACTAAGTATCATGGTACAGGCTCACAGATAGAAGAGCTATACGCACATTTAAGATACATTGTTAACTGTCTAGTAATATACCGACAACGTCTGGTATAAGCTGAATAGTTCAGAAGAACGAAGCCCAAGAGCCATCGTAGTGGAAGCATTCTGTAGTTTCGCGTCCTTATTGTCGCTCCAGTAACTTATTACCTTAGCTCAGCTGATTTCAGTGTTGCTACAGTATTGCAAAGGCTGCGACACATAGACTAACAAAATCCAGCAACTTAACTACATAGTCTCACAAAACGGTGATGCACTATCTACACACACTCCATCACCAGCAGTACCGCTACCCTATATATCTATTATTATTCTGTTTAAGAGCTTTAGCAGAAATACTTACATCACAGGTAATAGTACATGCAGCTCCAATGTTACCGCTATTGCAGTTATCATAGCATGCCGCGATGGAAGTGCTGACTAGGCACAGTAGCGAAATAGTAACAACTCCAAAGAAATGCATAATAGGTTGTTGAGAGCAAAGAATATAACGCTAGTATCTTGGTGAAATTGTGTTTCAATATGTAAGATTGATTTACGATCGGTTAATGGGATTGATTAGGCGAAGGAAGAATTTATAATGAGAGAATGACTAGCAAAGTAAGGGCTACAATGGCCCACCACCTCGCTGACGCGGCCTAGTAATCAGCACTACCCTAACACCTCGTATCTCCACCATCCTGAGTAATATCGGGGCTGCGCTTGCAGCTGTTGATACCCTAGGACCAGAGCACGATAAGAAGTGGGCACGGCAGGCGGAAGACCCTTCGCTAACACTTGACTAGCCTCGTCTATACTCTGGTAAATGGGTAGGTGTAGGGTCTTATATAAGCAGCAACCCAACCC